GCTTTGCTCATTCTACAAAGGGCAGCAGCAATAAAAAATACAGAAAAATATTGCCCTAAGCAATGAAATGAGAAAAGCTAGTTTAAGAAGACAAAAAGCAGGCCCTACCAAGGAAGATGATGCTATTTTTGCATAGGGAGTCTTGCAGAGGAAAACAGATGCCTATGGGAAGTCACTTTGCTTCTTCCAGCACAAAGGTGGAGGTGGAATCAACCCACCAGAATTCATGTTCACGTTTTCATGGAGTCAAGATATTTCACTCTTCCAGTTTTCTCATCACCCTGTTACCGTAACTATATGGGAAACACATAAAGCTATCTCTTCTATATAAACCCTCACATTTTGACAGAAAATTGGATGATATGACATGCTGCCTTCCAGAACAGGTGCTGTCTATCACCTTGCTGCTAATCTCTGTGATTAGTGACCTGCAATGTAAGTCAGCTATAAAAGACCACCTGTCCTTTTTGCTGTAAGCACATCCTAGCATATCTCTTTGTGGTGTCACACTCTCTTGTCTGGTTTTTGATTGATGCAAGTTTGTCTTTTGAGCAGTGACTCAGAAAATAAATCATCCCCCTTGCCATTCATTGAGTGCGATTCTGCAGCACAAAGACGGTGTGGTTAATCAAAGCTCCAAAGAGCAACAAAAAGCAACAGAACTGAGAATAAGGAGGATAGATATAAAGGATAAAACATCATAAAAAGGATTATTTGGGAGCCAACCAAAGGAAAAGCAGAACACAAAGAGCTGCAAATAAGTATTGCATTTGCTGCACTACCGCACCAGAACTAGAAAGCTGATTTTTTTGTTCCACTCCTTGACATATATGCAAGGATGTGAGAAGAGTCCCACATCTCTGAAAAATATAACTTTTTCAAGTAGTCTGATTTTATATGTCTTTACATGTGAGTAACCCTTTCTGGGGTCAGTGGGATTTTTCTGAGTAGAATAAGTAAAGCTTATTTCTGTCGTGAACTGCACCCCAGATCAGCTTGTGGTCCTGCTGGGATTGCATACACAGAGGGCTAACAAAAATAAGAATGTCTATTGCCATTAACTGGCCTTAAAAAAAAAAAAAAAAAATTTAAAAAAATGGAAAAAAGATGAAATTGGCAGACAGCAGGAATGATGAAAGTATCAAAAAGAGACAGAAATGCTGCGTTATAGGACAAGAAAGCCCTTTCCAAATAGAAATGGTTCAGAGCAGGAGGGTTTTGTGCTTCTATGGAAGGAAAAGGAGCACAGGGATCGAAAGGAACATTACTAGAAGCCTTGGGGTTTTTTACATCCAGTCCAGCAAGTTTATGGAAGCTTTTAAAATTATGAGGAGCAATCATGAGCTAAAGACGGAAAGAAACTGGTGGTTGAGTATGTAACCGAGACGAGTGTGATTCTTTGTATTCGCCGTGGGCCAGAGAAGTCAGGAAAAATGTGAGGTGTTGATGGCACAGATGAAATTGTAGCAGAAGTGAAATCTAGACACAAGAAGTAGCAGATAAAAAATAATAATCTATCACAGAAACATTATGAGGCAAATTCCCTGACAACACAACTCCACTGAACGTAAGGTATCTAAACCATCTGGGAATTGGGCCATAAAACTCACATGACAAGAACTGCATGTCCATGGAGAAGTGCTGGAAATTTACTTAAGTCAGTTAAATGCAACAGTTCCTTCTTTAAAAAAAAATTAAAAAAAACCCAAACACTTCACTATGTTTTTGGGAGGTGACCTTTCTAGTTGGAATGCCAAGCCAAGTGGTGAGGGAGAGAGAAATAAAAAGTTGAGAAGAGCTAAATTTGTAAAGATATGAATGAATTGGGAATAGAAACACTGTTACAGAGGAATGTACATGTGGACAGTGCAAATTTACAGGGCTATTTTTGATGAACTGTAGGAGGAATTTCAGTTTTCAGCACCTTTCTTTACAAAAAGAAAACTCTTCATCTGGTGGGAATTCAGTCCATTTCCTCAAGGTTTTTTGTCATTTCCTAAGTTACAAGGTTACTAATGGTAATTACAGACCCTGTTTGTACCTTGTGGCTCTAACTGTGCAGAAAGGTTATCTTGGCACACGTACCTCTCCCGGTAGAGGGGTTTTAAATGACTAGCCCTCAGTAGGAATTGCTACAATGCTCAGAAACAGATAGAAGCCACCTTTCCTCATTTCTTTCTTATAGAGTAACTGCTTCTTGCTCACATTTTGCTATCTCCATCCCCCATGACAATGACACACAATTTTAGTGTTCATTATAACAGCTGTTACTACAAGGCTGTTGTGAAGGACCTTGTTTTAAGGTGTTTTATTCAAAAGTATAACAAACCTGGTCCTTCTCAGGATTTCACACAAAAAAAGATGCTATAAAGCAGACAAATTGACTCAATAACAAGTGCAAAAAAGTCACAATTTTTCAAGTCAAAAAGGGCTTTTTTTTTTTTTAAGAGAACAAGACAGTGCACTGAAAAACAATCAGATGCTCTATTTCTTTTAGCTCTCTCCAGTGTGAAAGCACCAATATGTTTGATTCAATGCAAAAAAATATATACCAATATTTGGTAGATCTCTTGCATGCTACTACTGGTCCTTAACATAACACAATTTCCTTCACTATGGCTTCTACATTCAGGCCTTACTTTTTGTTTATTTGGTCTGCAAAACATTTAGCATGTGTCAGTTTTGGCCGGTGAGTAATCCCATTTGCATTCACTCTGTTGAATTTACATGACTGATTTTAAGTCAGTGAGTTCAGTGAGTTTAAAAACATATTAAATAAAAAACATATTAAAAATATATTAAAACATAATCCAAGTGGTGCTCAAATCTCTGGGAATGATTTAAGTAAAGCTCAGTTATAAGACATTCCTTTTCCCCTCATCCTCCCATCAATGTTTGATAATTTCTATGCATTTTGCTGACAAATAGAAAGTGTGAACTTGTCTGCCACCATCAGTGGAATAAACTGTAAGAGAATGAAGTGGATTTTTTTTTAATATATAGTATCTTCATTTCCAGGAAAGAATCCCACAGGAACTGTACAATGTGTTGGAATTGGGGCCTATCATTACAAAGTTCATTTTGGAGGTTAAAGGACTAAAACCCAGTTAGCAGTTTTAGCAAAATCAGAATTGCAGAAATAGGAGTGTGTCATGGTTTATCCTCATGCGAGTTCCAAGAGTGTAATCCTCCTTTGCTTTGCCCAGCTGCAGGTGTATCTCACAGCCTTCCTGCAGCTCTTGTTCCTTCCCATAATCTTTCTTCAACTCCAGTATTTGTTTACTTTTGCTTGTGTCAGACACTTTGGCAAGTAAGGAATTGCTAATAAAATGTTGTCTTCAGGCTTCAGCATTACAATTATGATTTGTAGGTTTTCAGAAGACTCCGTGCCAAGAGTCTTCTATCCTTCAAACACTCATATTTTGAAACCCACAAATGCCACATTATACCACATCCCTTTCAGCCAACCTGCAAAGCTCACAGCACATCCATCCTCAGCTACTGCATCATAGCTGTATGAGGGCAGGTGTAGATTAGATATTAGAAAGAAATTCTTTACTGTGAGGGTGGTGAGGCACTGCCACAGATTGTTTAGAGAAGCTGTGGCTGCCCCATCCCTGGAAGTGTTCAAGGCCAGGTTGACTGGGACTTGGAGCAACCTGGTTAGTGGAAGGTGTCCCTGCTCGTGTCAGGGGGGGCTGGAGCTAGATGATCTTGAAGGGTCCTTCCAACCCAAACCCTGCTAGGATTCTATGATCCTGTGAAATCTAGGACACAACATCTGTACCAAGTCTGGGTTCTGAATCATGGAGGAGTAAGATTTCATTAGTACATTCATGGTTTAGACTTTTAAGAGAGAAATGACACCAGAATGTGATTCAGTCCTTGCCATACATTTCCATATGTATTTCCTATGAAAAAGACCAATAACTGACAGGTTCTTTCTTAACCTCTTCCTTTATGTTTTTAAATGCTGCTGGTAAAGAAAATTTCCTGAGGTGGCATTTAGAGACTCGACTTCTGTTCCTTAGCAGTCAGGAGGACTCACTTCCTTAGAAGCTCAGCCCGTAATTACAGATTTTCAATGTTTGTGGGTTTTATCATTTTTTTTCCTCATAAACCAGTTTAGATATTAAAAAACATATTTTACTATCTTGATGCAAGTCATTGACTTTTTTTCTGTTGCATTTAATAAACTTGAAGTGAAAGTACCATTTATTAATTATTTTGAAAAATGTACTTTTAACATGTTTTATTTCTGTTATCTGTTTTCTCTGTGTGCAGATATGTATGCTTGCATAACATTGCATATATACATTAGTTTTCCAACAGGCATAAATTCCAGGCCATGTTGTTACGTGAAGCAGAGCACTATCACTTATTTACTCTTTCTCAGTTCTGCTTAAGTTCTAATATATTTCCAGCTGAGTAAAGATGAGCCCTCTGAATAGGAAGACATTTTTGTCCAATTTCCATCCGTATCTCAGCCCTTCATTCTTCTTTTCTCCCTCCCCCTTCCCACTTGCCTTCTTGCACTGTCTCAGTCTTTTGTTCATCCTTTGTAACCTCACAATCTGACAAAACATTTTAAAACCACAGGACAGCATTTTTCCAAAGTCTTCTGGATGCCCAAATAGAGACATTTCAACATTACCTGATTTCCAAGAGATTAGGTGACTGATGAATACATGCCTCCCGGAGGTGTCTGAATCACTTCCCATGGAAAAAAGACACAGAATATCACAATCAGTTTCAAATTCCCAAGTGCATTCCCAGTTCAGACAGATGCAGGTTGCTGCGTGTATGTGTCCTGTTAGCAGTGGCAATTATTAAATGAGTCACATATAATTGAGACTTTCTTTTTATTGGTAATTGTTCTAAGAGGGTTTTCCTGCGATCCATTGAGTAACATCTCTTTTCTTCAATGCAAGAATGTATAAAGAAGGCAAATTAGCCATCAAGTGCCCAAAGGCATGAATTTCTTTTATTCTCTCTTTCAGGTTATTCCAATCTGACCACCACACAGACATCATTTTTTTAATGTTGAATACTCAGATAAGGGTGCCATGGATGTAAAAGAGAGGAAACCGTATCGATCTCTGACTCGGCGCCGCGACACAGAGCGTCGCTACACGAGCTCTTCGGCTGAGAGTGAGGACAGCAAGGTACCCCAGAAGTCCTACAGCTCCAGCGAGACCCTGAAGGCTTATGATCAAGATTCCAGGTTGACCTACAGCAATCGGGTCAAAGACATGGTGCACCAGGAGGCCGATGAATTCTGCCGAGCAGGTGGGTACTTTTCAGCGGATGGATCTGTAAGCAGTGTGAGTGAATCAACTGAGAGCTGGGGCTGGGTGGGAGGATACCTTTGAAGGACTCTGAGGCTGAAAGGAAGATAGAGAGATTCAGAGAGAGCAGCAAGGATCATCTTCATTATATTCCACAGACATTGTGTGCAGACCAGTGTCCTTAAGTGGCATACCCATACCTCATGTTCATTAGCATTTACTAGACACATTTTCTGTGTCTTAGTCTTTTTGCCTCCAACAGCACTTTGCCACTTCCTACCATGAGACTAGAACCCCTGTGCATGTGCTGTACAGTACTGACATGGTGTGGAAAGCTCTTGCCTGCTCAGGAGAACTTTCACTATGTCATGTTCCTGCTCTGTTACGAAGGAAGTCAACAAGAAAGCTGAGGCAGAAGACAGTGAGAGGAGAGTGCCACTGCCCACAATGTCCATCTGGTCTACAGCAAAACCCAAGAATCCTGAAAGAAGAAAGGCAACTGAGCTCCAGATGGGATGAACCACCCTTGGCATTGTACATGGCCTGCAGGCTTTAGATTTTACTTGGGAACATGCTCCAATATTAGAGGAGTAAGGAACCACTTTTAGGACTTACAGGAGCCCATTAAGTGCATCTGGGTCACAGTGTCTGTGAAGGTGTGGAGTTTCAAGGGTCACCATGGGCATCACAGTCCTAATAGAGATTTCAGATATTCACTTTTTCATTGCTACTCCAAAGTCAGTGTAGTTACATTTTCACTGCTGCTGTTGCCTATGTGCAGTAGATTTCTGACCCCTGCTATGTCTTGTCTTCATTTTTCTGTAGAGGCACAAGTGTTGTAGTTCAGAAGCCAAGCAGGACTTTACATAAATTATTTTTAGAAGTCTATCAAGAAAAGCACAAAATGGCAAAGTGAGTCAAATAGAGTAGGCAGCATTCTAAAAAATTAACATAAACTAGCCAACCCAGAGTGCTCTGAACACATCCTCTGCAATTTGGAGGAGCTTATTCCCCAAAGGGAATGCGTATAATTGCACTCTTTTAACTTGGGAAGTGCTTAATTTTACTCCTCAAACATCATGCACTTGTGGTTTTTGTGAAAGACACATCTTTAAGGCATGTAAAAGCAAAATGACTTTCAGAGGTATCTTTGTGTACATGGCTTTGGTATTTGTATTTCAGGATAGCTGCAAAAGGCAATAATCAACAGAAGGGCCAATAGGTGTTGTAAATAGTACTGTGACATCATAAAAGCACTTTCCCTCTTAGCAACACTGAAGTACTTCATCCTCTCTAAGGAATCTGCGATGTTATAAAGAAAAGGAAACTTTAAGTCATTGAGTTTGCTCACTTCATACAATATATTCACCATGCAGGATAGATGTGAATTAGTCCAGGTCAGCGGTTTTCAACTTGAGGGTCTATGAGGCCATGCAGGTCCACAAACTTCTCCTAAGAAGCCCACAAAAGGTTACTTTTCTTGAAAAGGGAGTATAAATTTACTATACACAAATTCATACAAATTCATAGGAAAATTTTGGATTGTACTGAGAAATAGTAACAATGACTGGTCGAAGTGACTGAAATTAATTGAGAAGTTAAGATTAACCATGTCTGGGCATCAGTTCTATTTCTGACATAACAGTCATAGATTATTCAGTTTCAAGCTTTTTCCTAGTTTATCCTGACATTCTCTAAACTGGCCTGATGTTTAACAATAAACCCAGACTTTCTGTGCCACATTTTCCGCTGGCAATAAGCCATGAATGGACCTCACTTTGTGATGCTGCTTGGCCTCCTGCCAACTGAAACCAAGCCGCCTGAGCCTGCTCGACATCAACAAGGCAAAGTGAGTTTCTCTCATGTGTTGGTTTGCAAGGCAGAGGAGGGAAACATTTCAAATAGACCAAATAAATTCAGTAAATAAACAAGTCAGCATTTAAATGATTTTAGCTAGAGTGAGTGCCAGCAAATGTGCAAGTCAGCACAGGAGAAAATAGACCAGATCTGAATTAAAAAGCCTCAGATATTTATTATCTTCCCTTTATTGACTTGAGTTCTTCCAGCTTAAAAGGCAACAGTGAGCATAGAATATGAAAATCAATGCATCTGCTGCTGTTTATTGCAAATAAATTTGATTTTCAGTTAATTGTAGCAGTCATTTTTCATAATTTATGAGCTGCTGTTACTGGATAGCATCAGTCATGCTGCACGTTGATGTGCCTGATGATGCTGTGTGGTTTGTTTCAGGGAAAGGTAGAACTCACAGTCAGTGACTCAAACACAAGCAAAACCAAAAGATGTTTTCCAATCCTCTGAAAAGGATGGCTTAAAAATTATTCTGGCCTTGCACATACATCAAAACTGAAAGAGAAGAGCAAGGTCTCCATGGAGATACTGCTTCCTTGTGCTTACAACTTAGGTCAAGTTATTTGCTACCTCATTCCATGAACTCATAGAGGACACTCTCACAAACCACTTTGCAATCAAGTTAAATGGATTACTTTGCCACAAGTTGCATGGTGTTTCCCAAGCAAAGCCCAAGGGTTGGACAGAGGTGTGAGCCCTAAGCCACCTTTTCTGTCCACTCTATCTGAAAGCTTTATTCTAGTTTGATCTATTAAAAAGGTGTGAAGTTCATGAATGCTTTATGAACTTTGAGTGTTCTCGACTGCAGATCTGTGACCAGCTGAACCAGAGTTACTTCCTCCTGCCATCGAACGGTTCCTTCTCTGAGCTTTACATGAAAATGTTGTCCAGTCTCATTATTTACCTTGCATTCAAGTCTGCTCTTTGTTCACTGAGAGCTGCAAAGTCAACTGAATGCAAAAATGTAGTAAAATAGCATCTAGTTTAGGCCAGCTGTCTTCTGACACATGTGCTTTAATACAAGAGACCTTCCCTAAGCAGCAGGGTTCAAGGACAAGCCCAGGGTGTTTCCACATGTGCAAAATAATACTTTGGAAAAGTAGAAATCTGATTATTTCTGTTGGATACACATTTTCCACTAATATGCTATTTAACATCAACAAATGGAAATGTGAGGAGAACTCCATGGTTGTAGGGTCTTGAGAAAGGAGAAAATGATAATTCAGTTTTGGAGACAACATTGAGATGCAGACTCGATGAATTGATTTCAGTAATGAGTAGATATGAACTTCAGTGTTTACAGGTAGGTTTGTACCTGAACTTTTCTGGGGATTGTTCATTCAGATTTATCTTGTTGAAATATGTCTGAGCTGGAAACACCGCTCAGTTCCTTCATCCATCCAAAGCATAGCGTAACAGAAGCAGGGGTGCATTGAGCTGTATAAATGCACTGTGCAGCTAAAGGCACTCATGGGCAGCCAAAATCTTTTCAAGACATTCAGAGTTGAAAAATAAATGCATGCATTAATAAATAAATGTGGATTAAAATTGCTCTCCCCAGCCTCCTTGTGCAACTTTCCAAACAAAGTGTGCTAATATTTGAAGCCTCATTCACATCAATTCAGTCTGATTTTGAAGCTCTGCAGGTAACTGGTCATGAAGTCAAGAGTCACTTTTCAAGTTGTATTTTTAGTCAGCTAAACAATTGCATCTATTTGCAGCCAAATAACCTCTGCTGTGACTGTATCAGAATGAATAGCTAAACTGAGTCAAGGTGTGAGTGGTCAGCAAGGGGAAAGTGAAATCGCCAGAGGAAATTTAAATCCCCAGTATGTAATTTCAGGGATTTCAATGAGCAGAACTCACTCAAATTGCCTATTGTAGTGAAGTTGCCAAGTGTATGGTAGGACTTTTGATCATTGCACACCTCATTTTGCTTTTCTCCCAAGAAGATTACTTTTTGCCTCTCCTAAAGAGTTCCACCATCTACATCCATCTTTGCTTTCAAATTTGATGATTTCATTTAACATGCCCTGAGTTTTTGTCAGGTTCTGGAAGCAGGAATCCAGCTGCTTTTTGATCTTGACATATGAAAAGGAGGTTGTTATGAGGCAGGGGCCAGTCTCTTCTCCCAAGTAACAGGCAATAGGACAACAGGAAATGGCCTCTAGTGACATCAGGGGAGATTGAGATTGGATATTAGGAAAAATTTCTTCACTTAGAGGGTGGTCAGGGATTGCAACAGGCTGCCTACAGAAGTGGTAGAATCATTGTCTCTGGAAATGCTAAATAAAAGTGTATATGTGGTGCTTAGAGACTGGTCTAGTGGTAGACTTGGAAGTGCTGGGTAATGGTTGGACTTGATGATCTTATAACATCTTTTCTAACCTTAATGACTGTATGATTCTACGGTCACTTGGTCTCAGACTAAACAAGACCACAGAAGTGGGGACTCTGGCGTGATGTCAGGACTTGCGAGCTGCTCTGCCCCACATGAAGACAGAGGATGAATATTTCTGCCATTGGCTTGTGCTAGATAGAACTGTGCTCTAATAAAGAATAACCAAGCCTATGTGTTTTCTCACAGGAGCCAACTTCTCTTTGCGAGAACTGGGTCTTGAAGATGTGACACCCACACATGGAACTTTGTACCGGACCGATATCGGGCTGCCTCACTGTGGCTACTCCATCAGTGCCGGATCGGATGCCGACACAGAGGCAGATGTGGTCATGTCGCCCGAGCACCCAGTGAGGCTCTGGGGACGCAACACCAAGTCTGGACGCAGCTCCTGCTTGTCGAGTCGGGCCAACTCCAACCTCACCCTCACCGATACAGAGCATGAGAATACTGAAACTGGTAAGTGGTGACAGCAAATGCGGTGTCAGCCTTGAGCTCTACCAGGAATGACTCTTCTTACCACTCCACCCTAATCTTCCTTCGGTTTTGTATTGGGAGGTTTTTTATCAGGCTCGATAAAGACACTCTTTTAACAACCCCATGTCATGGCCTTTTGTACTGACCTACGAAGTGTTTGTTAATGAACTGATGGAGAAGCTCCTACTTATTTAGCACAGCGACAGAGATCATTAAGTATCTGTAATACTCTTCCTGCTTTTTGCAGCAACCAAAAAAGCATTTAAATCTCCCCTCCCCTGGCTAATGCTACTCTTATCTTTGCTACAGATTTTTGGGGCAGATAATTTCCTTCTTTTCCTTGCTGGTTCCTTGACAGGAGCCATTTCATTTATGTAAATGGACTGACTGCTCTCTGAAGGAAAACAATGGCAAAATATTTTTAGAAGCGTTTTTCTTTATGCGAAATAGAAGCTGAAGGTCACTGATTTTTTTTATCTCTGTAACTTTGTGTCCCCAGCTGGAGGGATTCCTGCATGCGTTTTGTAGGTCTGTGAACATTTTGGTCAGCACTTCTGCCAAGCAGTGTAGGAAGCAGAGAGGATTTTGATTCAATTGCAGCTTGACCCAGGAGTTCATCCAGCCCTATATGCCTTTGCACCTTTAATTCAATTATAGTACAGTCTGCTTCTTAATATAGCTGCTGCATACAAGTCATCAGGCGCTTGAGCTCAGCACAGAAAGCTGACGTGAAATGACTGTATCTCTTGTTCTTTTCATGCTTTTTGCCACAGTATTATAGTGACAAATGATGATAAGTTTTCCTCTGGAAGCCATGACATGGTGAGACATATACCACCCACATGATTTTATGTTTAACTCCAACAAAATTACAGTAGAAGCTTATTAAGTTTCTGCTCAGAGATAATGATGTATTAGGCAGAGTTCAAAGATAAATGGCCTTCTGTTTAAAGAATGTACAGAGGAATCTTTTTAAATTATCTTTACCATATTTTTTAAGTTTTTAGTGTAATATCTTACAGGCAGACACACAGTGCTAGGTTATATTGTCTTCCTTCTGATCCTTGTGTTTTGAGGAAAAATCAGAGGGATCATCAAGGTCAATTAGAGTTTTACATACTCACTAGAAAACAGCCAAAAGCTTGAACTTCCATCCCATTCTACTCTATCGAAAGCTCTCTCTTGTGCTTTCCATGGTAGTGTGTGAGCAGCTGTGTTCCATACATTTTTTTTTCTATGCCTACTCAGAAAACCAAAATACAGAATTTTAGTTTTGAGGTTTGGGTTTTTTTGGTCTTATGAGAGAAGAATTGCATTATCTGCTGGAGTCTTTTTCACTGGTTTCTATAATGCTGTCTCTACATTTGCAAATGCAATTTTGTTCCTACAGATCACTTACAAAAGAAATTCTATTAGAAACAACATATTAGCCTTTGCTTGGCTTGCCTTTGAAAGGCCTTTCTGAAAGCAACCACAGGCAGTAATACTCATGTAAGGAAAGAGACAACCTTGAACCTCTTCCCTTAAATTTAGTGACACACTAACCAGTCACTGAACCATCATTTCATAGCAATTAGAAAAAGGGAAATAAGGAAGGTGGAGAACATACAGTGCTGTACAAATGTAGAATTAGTTTCTTTGGGCCCTAGGCATTTGCAGTCTTAGATGTTGGGTGTTTTGAATGAGAAAGACTATATCATACCCAAAAGTACAAAATCTGTGTAGCACAAATAAAGTCTAGATCACTATGGTATCCAGTATGTAATTGTATTGTTAATATTGACGAAAAAGAGACAATTCAAAGTGTGCTGGTGGTGAGCTTCATCTGATGCTTAGAGTTCCCTAGGAATATGTCATGGAGATGAGCCAAGTTCAGGTCAGAAAAACCTGTCCGGAACATATTATTTCAATATAAGGATTGCGGTTGAATGGGTAGTATAAAACATACCCAAACAAAGGTTGCAACAGAGGAAGAACGGAAGGATTAAAGAAAAGTCTTAACTGTACACAAAATTTGAGTATTTTCTTTGTGTAATTGCTTAGCACTGATAAAGGTGTGAGAACCCTTTATGCACAAAACCCTCACAGCCTGAGACCTGCTGTTGGAGCAAATGAAGCCTGAGATCCTCTCAGAAGCTTTGTCTGGTAAACACAAAGGTTGCTCTGTGTTTCCTTCCTCTGCACATTAGCAGTGTTACTCTGGGCTGCTAGCTATCACACAGGCTATTTTGAGAAAACCCAGATTTATAGGAAAAATGTTTGCAAGAAGACATGAAATTTTGTTAATGGGAATGTAAAATAACCTAATGCTATGACTCAGTTTACAGGATACCTTTATGAGTCAATATTAATTGTTGACAGTATTGATAGAAGTTATAGCCTTTAGCTGAAGTCAATATGGACTTTATGAACGTGCCATCAATAGAAGATTTTATGGAGCCCATTAAACTAACTTTTCCAATGAAGGTCAACATCAGCAATTTTTATGCTGTTCATTATTTATCCAAAATAAATAATCAGAATTTACTTCTGATGTTTGTAAATCCAAAGCTGTCAAAGGACAATTCTACCAAGACATTTGTTGTGTTCTTAGAAAAGGGGAGATCTGCCTCCCTTGAAAAGCCAGTTTGTTTTTATTTCAGAAATTGTGATGTCTTGAAAGAACAGATACGCTGCTCAGAATGTGCAGTCACGATCCACCTCTCTGTCTTTAAAGAAACCTATGAGGTGCTTTGGTTCCATGGCATATTGCAGTTCATAAATCCCTTGCACAAACAGCTGGCATAGAAAGTCATGTGTAGCTTTATCTAAGGCTTTCACAAAATTCAAGAACGGTTCGGTTTGGAAGCAGCCTTAAAGATCATCTAGTTCCAACCCCTTGCCATGAGCAGGGACATCTTCCACTAGAAGGCTGAATGTTGCCAGGAGTCTGAATTCTTTTTTTAGATTAAGAGTTTGTTTTCACTGAAGAGCTGAGTTATAACTCTGGCATTACCCTGAGCTCAAGTCCTGCACACCTAATCAGCCACAACAGCTTCCCCTCCAGTGGGCAGTGCATTTCGCTCAACCTGGATAGTCACTTTGCAGAGTGAGGGAACAGAGGGTACAGCTCAAATTGCTGCACCTTGTCGGAGGATAATGCAATAATTCTGTGCTGCTGATGTAGCAGGCACTTTATATAGCTCAAGGGTTTTTCTGCAGCATGACCATCTAAGCTGAGCTGTAACTGTGAACTCCCATTAACAGTTCAGACCCAAGCACAGAGGGCAGTTTGGTTCCTGGAAGTCTATCAATGATGTTAGGAGAACCTCTTTCCTATACTATTTTGCACTATTTCTCAGTAACACTGATTCAAGGAAAAGTTCCTGAAGTGGTCATTTGGATTGAAGCCTGGACTTTACTGGCACTACCTTAGGTAACCCTGAACAGGCTTTGTACCGAGCCAGCAATTATTTACTATAGAGAAGAGCACAATGAAGAATGAAGTAATAGTTTTCCAGAAATTGACTTGTTTTGCAGAAATTTAGTCATACTAGGAAAAAAAACCAACTTCTAATCACAAGAATACCATCATAAAAATACAGTACCGCAGGATAATTTATATTGGAAGGCATTGTTGAAGGTCTCTGGTCCATCTCCTGCTTTAAAGCAGGGCTAACTTTGAGGTCAGATTGGGTCACTCAGGGCCTTGTTCAGTTACACTTTTAGTATTGACCAGGATGGAGAGGCCACAACCTTTATATCCTGGTTCTAGTGCTGACCACACTTGTTGTGAACAACTCTTCTCCTAAGAGCTAGCAGGGATTTCCACTGCCACAACTCACGTCCATTGCTCCAACTAAGCATCTCCCAGAACAGTTTGACTCCATCTTCTGAACATCACCCATACCTAAAATAGTTAAAAGGCAGCAGCTAGGCCTCCCTTTAGCAATGTCTTCTACTAGCTGAACAAAGCCACCTGGATCCGCCTCTCTTCATAAACAGTTTGTAGGCAGTTAGGCACCGGAGAAGATAGAGGAGTCTGAGGAACTCCAGTGCTAAAAGTTTTTAAGTGTAAACTAGACAGTAGTCTAGTTTACGAGTTTACTGGCTGAGAATGATCTAGATTAGATGCTGGCTCAGAGTGGCTTTCCATGCTGACCTCTGAAATCTCCCTCTTTCTCCAGTTTCAGTGTCTGTAGCATTGCTGTACTTTCTTTGACTTTGGGGTGATGTAGGACTGTTCAGGCAGGGCTTTGAGCACTTTAGGCTTTTGTACTGCCTAGGGCACTCCTAAGAGATGTGGAGATGGACAGTGTTTGTGTGTAAGCATCCATGAAATGGGCTGTGAATATTTCTTCTGGGTCTATACCGGAGATCTTAACCCAGATCCACCCAAAGTGTTAGGAATCATGCTGGTAATCCCTGAAGAGAAAATATAGATAATCCAATATAAAATCCCTTCCCCACAAGAAAAAAAAAAAAAAGAAAAGAGAAAAAAAATGCAGACAAACACCAACAACAAAAAACTAAACCACTTTTTCCTCTGTCTTCAGTGTGAAAATGAGCTTACTGTTTTATTCAGCACAATCACTGCAAGGTTCCTTTAGACTAGAGTCAACTGCAATTATAAAATTTGTCTTTCTTAAAGTGGAGTTGCAGCTCTTTCTTTTAAATAAAAAAAAAAAATACAGCTTACCTTTCAACTGTTCTAAAGAAGCTGTGTCAAACTAAGGATTCACTTTAGTTGTACTCTGGGCTCAGTGTTAACATCCACCAAGGCACGTAGTTGGTTAAATATGAGAAAGAATAGGAGAGAGGGGAAGCAGTTTTCTTCATTAGCAGGAAAAGTCAGCAGTGATTAATGCTGTGCAGAGTGGAGCTGATGTTTCTGTCTGTCATCATCTCCTCTTGGGAAGAATGTGGGCAGTATCAAGCAGCCAGAAGGGTCTCACAGGCAGGATGATCAACATCAGATGGCTCAAGACAGTTCAACTGATCAA